CCCCAAAACCCCAAAACCCCAAAACCCCACTTTCAGGGGCATTAAAATATTTCTAAGTTATATAATAATTTTAAGAAGTAGCTGGTCGGTAGGATTTTGGTTTTAGATGTTAGAGATGGAGGAAACCAAGCAGAAAAAGTGTGGAGGAGATGAACAGCCTGATTTGGAACGAATTTTGTAAGTGGAGAGGGCGACTGGGGAATTTTGGATAAGGGATTTTTGAAGGTTTGTAATGAATGATTTAGTGACAAGACATTTAAATTTCAACACCCTAGTGATACACCTGAGTTGGTGGAGAATGCTGGGTTGTCGAATTATAAGATTAAGGTATCAAAACAAAAGTGAATGCATTATGCTGGGTTGCTATCGAAGATGATTCATGGAATTGATGAATTAAAATAATTCTTTGCTTGGAAAACTGCTAATTAAAATCCTTCTATCATATAATACCTCTTTAACTGAATTCGAACAGAACATTCTACAAAATATGAAGAAGTAAGTGCCCAACTAAAATTATTTAGGGAAGAATCCAGGTGCATAGATCCTCCCAAAATTGGTAAAATTTCCTCATAACAACTAGAATTGAATATGTCAGAATCTTCTCAAGAGATGCCTAACGAATTTATGGTTTCCACTCCTAATAAATAAGGAGCAGTTCATCAGTAGAATTATCTACGAAGATTCTGTAAAAGGCTCGAAGACAGAGAGGAAAAGAACTGATAATGTTGACACAGAATACCTGGAAGCTCTCAAGTCTCGAAAGAAAATCATGGCTCTCAAGGGCTCCGATGCTGGCAGTGATCTTAAATAAGATCTACGCTGATCTTCGAGACCAGATACCCTACTTAGACTTAGAAAAAGATGATGACTTCTTTGATGAACACCAAGAAATAATAGATAGCTTTAAAGTTTCAGGGGATGAATTCCAGTGGAATCATGAAGAAAATGTCAGAAAATATATCGAAAACTTAAAGAAAGCTTTAAAGACTCATACCCAAAAATAAGATGACAAATGCAGAGGTCCAGACCTCTGACAAGTTTGTGCATATATCCGAGCTCAAGAAGTTGAACAAAGAAATTACCCGATATAAACAAGAGAGTGGGCTACTTCTCTAATCCTATAGTTACCGATCAGCAAGTTGAGTTGCGAAGATTCAGCACTAAGAAAAATGAAACTGACTTCATGGTTTATCGACTTGAAGAGGAAAAAGCTACACTGAGTGACAAAGTAGAGGAACTTCGAGTGATTCTTAACGCAATGAAAATTGAAAAATCTACCATGATGGATAAGTTCATTGCGATTGAGAAAGTCATGAGGATGATCAAGGGTATATTTTCAACTCAATATTTACGCTAAATTTACTTTAGATACCGACCTTAATGGATACAGAAGATTGATAGTGGAAGTTTGTAAAAATGAATCAAGTGATGACCGTAGAGAATACTTTTCAACTAAAGCTAAAGAAGAAGGCATTAAATATAAAGATCCTTACAAATAAATTAATGAAAAGGCTTAAAGAGGATACTGAGATAAGAGTCATTGTCAAGGAGGAGAAACCTCTAATGATGAGTAATAGATGTCTTATAGTCATATAGACAAAAGGTTACAGACGAGAGATGCTCCTACAATGACCAATTTTACACAAACTCCAACTATCAAGACAGGCATCAAGACAAGAAGATTTGAGAGAGAAAGTAGCTGAAGTCTTTCAAAAATAGTGAGGCAGACATCCATCGTCCCTCAAACTTATAGAGGTGGAGGTTTTCTACACTACTCTAGATCGATAGAGACAGATGAGGTAATTTCTCCTGCTCTGAAGCCCTCTTATGAAGATCATCAATGATTGGCTCAAAATTCTAAACCATCAGGCCAGCTAATTTTGAACCATCCTAAAATGAAAGGAGATAATATGATAAAATTGATTAAACACAGTGGAAGCTTCAAGAAAATGCCAGTAAAAGCTAGGAGGATCCCTGGAGATCTCAAGCATATAAATAGTATGAAGACCCCTGAAGTACGAATGGGTCCAGGAACATTTTACTCTCTATTTTCCAAAGAATCTTTTCAAGGTGAAGATTGTGATCAAATCATTGATAGTCTGGGCTCATCTCATGAGTCGAGCAATATTCAAATAGATAAATACTACGTAATTTCAAAATCTCAGTTATAGACTATCGACAAAGAGAAAGATAGTAATATTATTAAGCATGAAGATCCGAGTAAGATCATCACTTGCTTCAGAAAGGAAACTTCCCGCCCAACCACTGCTAGAGCAGTCATTCTTAAGAATAGAAAAAGGAGTAGAAAAAGGCCATTTCATAGTAAAAAGAGAAAGCTGTGTAAAACAAAGAGGGCTTAAATGATACAAATTTAGAATTTCAATTATCGTTCGTATCACAGGGGTTTTGGGGTTTTGGGGTTTTGGGGTTTTGGGG